GCCGGAGTTCACCAGGCAACGGGCAGTTTGCAATGAATACTCAATCCTTAAGTACATCCTGGTAGATAGGGGGAGCACGCAGATCCCAGAGCTGCACGTAAGTGCGATAGATATAGGTTCGACCGACCACTTCCTCATATGGGCAAACATCGACCGATCTAGAAAGATCAAGAGTAAGAAACAGAGGAAAGTGTTCCGGTGGAAGGTAGAGCGTTTGGGAGACGATGGGACACGGGATGAATTCCAGAAGGGGCTGGCTGGTAGTGTAGAATCCTTCAGGAAACTGCTGAGAAGCGTCGAAGACGGACAGGTAGACGTACAAGCAGCAGGGGACAGAGTGATTGAAGGGTGGGAGTCCATCGTGAACGCAACGGCAGAGAGAGTAGTGGGAACGAAGGTGGTACGATGTGGGGTATCGGTTAAGTGGTGGGATGACGAGCTGAAAGAAGAAATTGGGGAACGCAGAGAAGTCTTCAACAAGTACCTGAGTGAGGCGTCTGAGGAGAGTTGGGAAAAGTACAGGGCCAAGAGAAAACAGGTGAAGGGACTAGTGAGAAAGAAGAAAAAGTGTATTTGGGACGAAGTAGTGCAGAAGGCCAACGGAGGCCTGGAGGGAAACGTCAAGCAGATGTGGGAAGGGATTAGTGGAATGGTAAAAAAGACCGCGCAAGGGGGGGATACAGGGGTAGCAACTTTGCGAGGTGTGAACGGTGGATTAGTCAGCAGTGGGAAGGGAAAAAGGGAAGTTCTAGCAGGACACTACAAGAGACTTGGAGTGCCCTCGGAGAATGAAGCTTTTGACCAAGCGTTTAAGAAGGAGGTGGACGCATGGGCCCAAAAAGAACAAGAGACATCGAAGGCAGACGTGTAGACCGTAGAACTAGAAAAGGAGTTCACTGAGGACGAGGTTGAGGCGTGTGTGAACAAGCTGAAGTGCCACAAAGCAGCAGGAGCGGATGGGATAGTCAACGAGTTCATGAAGTTTGGGGGGAAGGGGATGATCCAGCTGATGGTACTGCTATACAATTGGGTGTGGAAAAACGAGTATACGCCAAGTAGATGGCGGGAAGGAGTGGTTGTGAACTTGTTTAAGAAAGGAGACAAGACTGACCCAGGAAACTACAGGGGGATCACACTGTTGAACACAGTAGGAAAATGTTCTGTAAGCTGCTGAACGATAGGNAAGTTTGGGGGGAAAGGGATGATCCAGCTGATGGTACTGCTATACACTTGAGTGTGGAAAAACGAGTATACGCCAAGCAGATGGAGGGAAGGA